CGCCCCAAGAAAAAAGCAGTGAATGTTAAGGCGAGGTCACATTAACGAAATTTCAGCGAGATTTCGCAAAAAAGTCCTTTGTCAGTAATGTAACGACGTATGAAGCACAGCTCACTTTCAAAGCCAGCAAAAATTCGCAAAATCTGCATCCGTCCTCATGCGAGGCTCAAGATCGCACAGATTCCTACTGAAGTAACTGGATTTTTCCCGTGAAATTTTGCTAAATGTAATTGCACCTTTATGGTCTTTGCACCTTTAAGGTCTGAGTCCTACATTTTCGTATGCGTTTTTCGTATTCATCATCGTCACGAACAGAAACCTTACACACTGAGTCAAAAACGCAGAAAATCGAACCCAATCCAGATTTTTTCTATGATGGACGAACGTTTCGGAGGCAGTATGTACATGTGCTTGACACAATGTGTGGTCGTATTTATTTTTTTAACATGCGAAAATTTCAGACTCAGTGTGCAAAGACCTTTAGGCTGCATCCAGAATGGAATATTAGCATACTACAGTATATACTGAATACTGCGCAGTATGTTCCGTCTCTTTAAAAAAAAAATAGTAGACATTATTCCACACTAAACATTCCAAACAGTAGAATGCTACATTGTGACATCATCAGATGGGAAACAACGTGTACTAATTTGTATAAATATGTACATTTTTGCAGTCAGTTTACTAAAAAACGAAGGGTGCATTGCATTGTGGGATACGGTATTCCATGCAGTTTGCTGTCGAATACTGCATATTTTAGCAAAAAAAATGGTCATCTGGGAATTTTGTATTTGCATATTGAAAATGTGCATACTGTCCATAGTATACATACTACATACTGCGAATGTAGAAGTAGTATGCTAGTATGCTATTCTGAACAGAGCCGTAATCTGTTAGTTTACACACTCCAGCATCTACAGAGGCAAATATTGTAGCATCGCACACACAGCTTAGTTTTCACTTCCAGTGCAACACATGCCAACTAAATAGGGCATAAAGAAGAGATAAGATTATGTTAAAGGTTTGAATACCCTCACAGGCAGATTTTGTGTGTTAGGCTGGAAAAACATTTTGAGATAGCACTTTAAAGTACAGGTAGAGGAAGTGAAAAACATGTACTTTATACTTGGTATAGATAAACAAGATGACATTAGTTTTGCTGGGAATTAATGTGGGTAATTCGTCGAGTTAACGGTCTGGAACTGGAGATGTTTTCAATAATTTCTCATTTTGACAGCCAATTAACTACGATGTTTATGGCATTTTTTTTTTATCATACACTGATTTAATGCACGTCACTTCTAGAATGCTTGTCTGATTACGGTGATGAATCATGGAAAGATTTTCAGAAGAATGGCTTTCCAACGCAAGCCAAATCCACAAAGTCCAATCATGTTGTTTTCAGGTGCATTACCAAAACCGTTTCCTGTGTACAGAGGAAATTATGCATAAAGTAGCAGTGATGTTGCTCCCTAAAATTCACTTTCCATTCCGGATTTGATGTTGTGTGTCTTCATGTCTTTTAATTTCCTGTTTGTCTACGCTTCTAAAATTAGAAAGAACACGATGGTAATCAGTGCTGACAGAGACCCAAATGACTTTGTACATATACACTAAGCCAAAAACAATGCAAATAAGGTTCAGCGGCCATTAATAACTTGCAGAAATCATCTGTTTGCTATTAATTAATCATCATAATTCATAATCAATACAATATTGAATATATTGGGTACTGGCTAAGCATTAGACATCCCTCCTTCTCTTCAAAACAAAAATAACTTTGAACTGAATACTTAAATAGAAAAAAAAATAGCTTTGCTTTTTTAAAGGCATAACATTCATTTAACAAGTAATCATTTGCAATTAAAGTCACCCCCCCCTTTTAATAACTATGTTTATTATTTACAGAAGCTCTGAACCACAAGATTTGGCTGTTTGTAACAAACTGGGCAAAAATGTAGATATACAGAATGCAGACTTTCCCCCCTTTTTTCTTCTTCTCCTTTTTCTAAAATACATATTTTTCTCCATAATTTTCTACCTACTTTTTAAAACATTTTTCATATTTTTATTTAATTTAAAACAAATAATAATAATAATAATAATAACAATAATACTACAATTAATAAATAAACTATACATAAATTATTAAAATATATTATTATTATTATTATTATTATCAATATTAAACAAATAAAACGCTGAAAAATATTTGTATAACGTTCAATTTGTGAGCAGTCCAGGGCTTCTGTAATTATTCTTGTCTCTTCTCAAAATCGTAATTATTCCATAAATGTTGGATTTTGGCCAAGATTTCAATAAGGCACAAAGATCCAGTCAGGACCTCTTAAAGGGACGTAAGTTTAATTTTTCATCAGATCAGAATGCCGATATTTTGCATTTCTCTGGGTCAGATTGCACATTGTGATATTCCTTCGCTTATTTTTTTTTTTATGAATCCATTCACATCAAGGCACGTTGACAGGAAAGAAAGGCTGACAGAGCTCTGCCTCTGACATTAAAGTGAAAAACGACACATCAGAGACTCAGACAACACAACCAGGGGCAACATTTCTTATAAAAACTCTCTCGAGTGTCTCAAAATATCTGTAAACATTAGATCATTTTCTTTACACCTTTTCGAGTTCTCCAGATGAAATTAAAGTGTGGGAAAGAGCAACTATGTCATAAATGCCTTTCACCCTTTAACATCTGCATATCCACACACAAACATTAAACATAGCACATAAAACTCAACATTAAACATACAGCAGAAAACTCTTAGCTCATTTTCAATAACTTAATCTCAAATAAACAGCTAATGCACCAAAAAAAAAAAAAAAAAAAACCCCACACCCACACACAAATGCAACAGCAGGTTTTTCTTGCATATTCACAGCCAGGACACATAACTTTGCGAGCGTTTAGGTCGGTACGAATCGGCAGTCATTTAAAAAGCCCTAAATAAGAACCAAAGGGCTGTTTGGCCACACGACCTGCTTGGCATCAAGGGCAAAGTACAGCAAGACCACACACAGGGTAACGTTTGGCAGCAGTGCGCATTTGAAATGCACTATGGGACGATAAAAAATAGCGAATACAGGTACCCACGGACAAATGGAGGGAGGGATTGTTTACTATAAAACGGCGGTCTGAAATTAAACCGATATTCCCGAGGCACAGAGGTGGAGACCACTGGGAAAAACAAGAGACTTTTGCATCGGGTCCAGTAATGGATTGCAGACCACAAACATGGCTGGATTTTGACCCAACCCGGAGGGGTCCATTAAAGATCTCAGCAGGGCAAACCATAAAAGTCACACACGAACAGTTTGTAATACTGAGGAATTAGCCGTGTAAATATGTTGAAGGACAAATAGGTTAAAAAAGGCATCACACCAGTAAAGGGCGAAATTTTGGTTGGCAGTGTTGTGATTGGATAATTTTTTTTTCGTTTTAAAAACAGGACATTTCTTCATAGCGATGTGACGATGAAGTGTCAAGGTCTGCCCACCCTGTCGCTCATGTGGAGAGAGTCTGACCTCACGGGTCAAATGTCAAAGGTCGTTGCTCATTTATCATCTTCGACCTACTTTGACCTCAAAGGCTGTGAGTGATCGCGGCTTGGGTTTTGTACTTCCTGGGTCAGAGCCTCTCCCTCCATGTGCTGGGCTGTAGCGTGGGAGTCCAGATGAACGTTTAAATGTAAGTTTTGGCATCAAAGAGGGGTGTGGCGTCTCTATGCTGAGGTCACGAGAGGCAGTGTCCTCGTCCAATCAGAAGCCAGAGCAGCGGCAGCTGGAGGATGACCATGGACACGATAGATGGACTCAGACTCGACGCCCCACCGCAATCCTCATTCTGCTCCTATTGCAATGCCAACAAGAGAAAGCCAATAAGTCAGCTGCGGAACTAATGGTGCGATCACATGTGGGAGTTACTTTGTAATAAAGTACAGAATTGGGGTTCCATAAATAAAAATTCCATTGATTTTCTCCATTGACAATAGATAATATAGTTTATTGCAAAATATGAAAATATATACAAATATGTATTAGTTATTACTATTATAATTTGTAGTTTCCTTTTTCATAATTACCTTATGCATATTTTTACATAATATTTTAAATATAGATGTATAGAGATTATATATATATATATATATAAACTATATATGATTGTGATATTGATCGATTGACTAAAAAATATTTTGAAAAATATTAAAACATACAAATACAATATTATAAGTATTGTATAATAAATATAAATACAATATTATAATCAATGACTACAAAGTTCAGCATGTTTTTTTCCATCATTTCCTTTTGCATAATTGAAACAATATATTCTATCGTTCAAAAATTTGGGGTCAGTACATTTTTTTTCTTTTCTTTTTTTTCTTTTATTCAGCAAGGATGTGTTAAATTGATAAAAAGTGATAGTAAAGACGTACATTGTTAGAAAAAAAAATATTTTGAATAAATTCTGCTCTTTTAAACTTTATTTATTAAAGAATCCTGAAAAAAAGTATCACAGGTTCCAAAAAAAAAAAAAAGATAAGCAGCTCAACTTGCAGCAAAACACTGATAATAAATGCGCATATTAGAATGATTTCTGAAGGATCATTTAACACTGAAGACTGGAGTAATGATGCTGAAAATTCAGCTTTGCATCACAAGAATAAATTATATAAAATAGTAAACCGTTTAAAATTGCAATATTATTTTACAATATTACTGTTTTTTCTGTATTTTTGATCAAATAAATGCAGCCTTGATGAGCAAAAGAAAGTCCTTCAAAAACTTTAAAAATAATACTGATCCCAAACTTTTGAATAGCAGTATATATACTGTATTTAGCATATTATACATGATTAATTACAGTAATTGTGACATTAGGTGAACGCAACATAAAACTACAATATCCCACTACAATCAGTCTAAAAGCTTTATTATTTTTTTTAAATAATATGAATAAATATGCTTATGCTGTTAATAATTTATTCATTGGTGAATCTATCAAACCTCTACAATTAATCCAAAATGCTGCTACAAGATTAATTTTTAATGAGCCGAAAAGAACCTCTGTTCATCAATTTGCACTGGCTACCAGTAGCTGCTCGCATTAAATTCAAGGCATTAATGTTTGCCTACAAAACCACCACTGGCTCTGTACCCCTTTACCTAAATTCATTACTTCAGAGTTATGTGCCTTCTAGAAGCTTGCGTTCTGCAAGTGAACGGCGTATTATTGTGCCATCGCAAAGAGGCACAAAATCACTTTCACTGACTTTTTCATTAACTGTTCCCTCCTGGTGGGATGACCTGCCCAAC